TCTCTGTTGTGTAGTCTTCTTTGTTGTTTCTACGATGCTTTAAATATGTAAAAGTGTTCTTAGCTCACAGGTCGTAGGTTGTCTATTCCTGGACTATGGTGAAATGATCCACTTCAGTAGTTTTAATGTTGATACACTATTCTTATCTAGTATTATCTAATTTACCACACATCTTCCAATTTTTCAAATCAGCCTAGTAATTTCCTTTATGCATTTTCTGTCTCTTTTGGAATCTAGTTAGGACCCACCACTGCACTTGGTTGATACTGTTCTTTCATATGATTTAATCTGGGCCATTTCCTCAACCTTTCACTGTCTCTTATAGTATTGATATGTTTAGAAAATACAATTCCTTTTTTAAAAATAGACCATTCCTAATTTGGGGTTGTCTAGGATTCAGTGCCCTAGCCTGCATCCCATATAAATGATGTCAAAGGCTTTTTAGGGTATCATATCTGGAGACACACAGGGTCCGTTTGCCCCTCACTGATGACTTCCAAGCAATAGCAAATGGAAAAACAGAAACAAAACAAAACAAAACAATTAAAAAATCAAACAAACAGAGAATAGAGAAATTCTGAGAGAACACTGCTTTAGAGACAGATGATCTTCAGAATTATTAAGTATGTTTTTTTTTTTCATCCAATGCTGTTCAAAGCTTTAACTTAAAGCTTGTGTCTCTGTTTCCATCTCTACTAGACATATGAGAAGGCAACTAAATGTTTTGAGAAAAACCAGTTTATTCAGGGAACAGTATGGTGATAAGTGGAACTCCCAGGTGCCTTTTGTTGATTTTTGAAGTACATACATTCTTAGCTTGTGTGTACATCTTAATTTTTGTACATTAACTGGCCAAGGTCTTATCTGTCAGCCTCTGCTCTAGTAGTTCAGCCCCACATTCAGGTCACGCTGAAAGTCCTGCTGCTCTGTGCATGCTCCAGATTAGTATTCTGCTTGAAATAATCTTTTCTTCTTTCCTGATTAGAATTATCTTAATCCTTCAGCATCTACTGCAAATGCCCTCCATTTTATGCAGTTCCCAAGGAGAAACAGACTCTTCATTTTTCCATAATATTTTCTACTGTCCCTTAGTGGCACTGACGACAATGACAAGGGTAATAATAGTAATAATGTAGCAACTACAAATAATTCAGTAGTTTCCAATGCCAGGCATTGTGCTAAGCACTTATATGCCTTTTGCAACCATGGTATTATTTGTGTATCACAATTATCCTCAGTTTTGGAATAGGAAAATTGAGATCCAGAACGTAAAGTAGTGTGTCTAGGACTACGGTCTCACAGTCTAATAAGCTGGAGGATAAGGATACAAATGCATGGGTCAAAGCCTGTACTCTGTTTCAAAATATTGGAGCAATGGTTTTACTTTTATATATATTGTATGATTATAATAATATTGTTAGCTTAAATTTACTTACAGGGAAACATACAGATATTAAGTGTACAATTCCATGAATTTACATAAGAACGTAACCATTGCCCCATCAAAATATCGCCCCAGACAGTTCTTTTATGCCTCTTCTCACCAATTCCCTCCCTCCAAACCAGAGACAAGCATTGATAAGATTTCTATCATCATAGATTAGTTTTGTCTATTTTTGAATTGACTGTAAATGAACTCACACAGTATGTATACACATTTGTGTCTGGTTTATTTCACTCAAACTAATTAAAATAATTTTTCTTGAGAGTCAGCCATGTTATGTGTAGCAGTAGCCTGTTGCTTTTTTTAAATTGTAGAGTAGTGTTCTATTGTATAAATAAGTAACAGTTTTTTTCTACTCTTCTGTTGGTAGACAGTTGGATTGTTTCCAGATTTTGGCTATTATGAATAAAGATGCTATGAACATTCTTGTACAAGCCTTTTAGTGGACACACACTTTCATTCCTTTTGGGTAAATATCTAGGTATAGAATTTCTGGGTCATATACAGGGGCATGTTTTGCTTTACAAAACTTTGCCAAATAACTTTCCAAAGAAGTTGTACCATTTTACACTCCATAGGCAATGGCTGCATGTTCTAGTCGCTCCACATCCTTGCTAACATTTGGCATTGTCACCTTTTTAATTTTAGTTATTTTAGTGGGTGTGAGAAAGTGCTGTAGCCAAAGTCCATACTCTTAACCACTGCTTGATGTCATCACGGCCCATTTCACTTTATACAGTAACTTGCATACACATCTGCCTTTCCTACTAGATTCCAAGCCCTCAGGTAGCTAAGATATTCCTTATCATTTTTATAGTCCTTCTGAATCAGAATCTCAATAAATGCTTAATAAATTTTGGCTCGGAACACATTCTCTGCCAACTTTCAATCATGAGTGTAAAAGAGTAGAGAGAGGAAGAGTGAGGATATCTAATATGACAGTTGTCTGGTGGTATATCCCAGGGCACACTGGCAAGGTCTCAGGACAGCTTAGATTAAAGGAGGTTCAACACAATAAGATTCTAGGTCTTAATATCTCTCAGCATGCATTATAATCATCTGGGGAACTCTGAAAAAAATGCAGATGTCTTGGCCCCAACCCAGCGGCGGTCATCTTGGAGGATTTCTACCCTAAAAGCCTTAAGCTGGAGACTAGGGAATGCTTGGTCAAAGATTAATGAAGCTTACGTTTAGTCTCCTGGTTGGTCATTTATATATGTATGTATGTTTACTTATCTGTCTATGCATATGACAGATATTTGGACTGAGTTGATCTGAGGTGGGCACAGTCATTGGTCTTTTATGGATGTTCCCTAGATGCCACTATTGTGCAGCTAGCGTTAAGAGCAGTGACACAGTAGAATGGAGTGAAGAAATAAGAGGTTTACATTGATGATGATAGTGTTGATCTGTTCCAGAGAGATAATAATCCAACTATGTCTCTCTCTGGAAGTGAGATTATCACGTTTAACCACATACGTAGATGGAACTACAGTTGAATGACTGCCTAGCTATCCCCTTTATCCTTTGCCAACTAGACAGAGCCTTTGATCAGCAATCATCTGTCACATTGAAGAATCAAAGGGCACAACACACTTGAGCTAATACCAAAGGCATTCCTTGTAGTCTCTTAATAAATGTACTCGGAGCCCTGAAAGATGTCTACTCCAAACATGAATTCCCAACACTGCCAAAATGATTTGAGTCTAGATGTGACAATCTGTGATATTTCAGGCAGAGCTGAAAGAATTTAACTTGGCTTATCAAAGTCTAAAGCCAAAATTGAGTGTCCGATGCGAAATGGACAAACGAAGTCAACGTATTTTGAATGACATTAAGCTAGATGTTATAGCCACTGTATAAGTCTGAGCAGGCCACAGTTTGGCTCTTCTGGAAGGTCTGGTCCTGAACTTCACTCTAAGTGTTCATCTTCACATAGCTACTGAAAATGGCTCAGTAAGGCATAGCCAGACCTCACCCCACTCAGTGAGAGCCATAGATTTTTCATTTGAACAACTGTACGAGTTAGACAAGGGGGTTCACTTGAGAATACTCCCATGCATTTTGTTTCCTCCCTCATGAGACAATTGTCCTTTGGTTTAAGATTGCTGCGAGGTGGGCAGAACAGAATTGAAACAATTCTTCCTCAGTTCTCTGTCAACCTTCTTCTTGTCACTTCAAACTTTGTTACCTCCTTGGAGGATGGAGGGGAGAGCTAGGAAGGAGGAACAGGGAAAAATGGAGAAGCGAAGGCAGGAGAGAAAGGTGGTAAGGAAGAAAGAGAAAACAAATTTATATGTGTACACGTGTGTGCATGTGTTTGCATGCGTGCACACATGCACAGACAGAAGGGAATTTTCCAACGACAATAACAAATTAGAATCAAAACCCTTCAGCTAGGAGGATCCTTACCTATCACAGAGTTTGACACCTCATTTTACAGATGAGGAAACTGAATGCAAGAAAGATGAAAGGATTTATTTATTTATTTATTTATGTTTTGTAAAAGGGCTTTAATGTGCTCCATAAATGCAAACTAATCAAACGTGAAGACACCTAAGTGCTCTTTTCACACTATCATTTGGTTTGCAATTTTGGTAATGGCACAAGGAAAAATCCCTCAACTAGGATAACCAGATGGAATACTCAAAGGCAGATAAAACAGAGAGGACATAATGAACTAAAGATAAATTTATTCCTTCATTGTTTATGTTGTAGTGAAGAAATGCCATGAGAGGTGTTGGCAGAAGTTTGACATGAAAGAGCTGAGCATAATCACTTCATTCCTCTTGGCACAGGGCAGAGCAGTAGGCTGCTCTTGGAAAAGAAAGAGATGTTTCAGGGAAGAGCAACAAAAATAATCAGGCACTGAAAAAAAGAATCTCTGATGAAAGGATTTATACAAAGTGACGCAGTAAGTCAGAAACAGAGCTGGACGAGAGAACTCAGGTGTCCACCACCATCCACCTCCTTCAAAGTGTTCCCTGATAATTTCCATGCTGCCTCATCAAGTCTCCAAAAGAAATAGGCTTCTGCCTGCTCCTCACCACCCAACCGCACAAACCAGAGCCTGAAAGGACATTTCAATGAAGTTGAATAGATGGTTTTGTTAGGTGGGGAGCTGAGCATCTGTGGGTGGGCAAAGTAAAAGGAGGCATTCTTCTAAGGAATAGGCTCATTTTTTAACCGACCATAACACAAAACTTAAGTCTCCAAACTTCCTCAAGACAGAGTTGTAGAAAGGGAAGAGTTATAACACTTCTGATAATTAAATGGCAGTCCTAAGAGAGCAATCATGGCTCTAGAGGCCACATTGCAAAACCACTAACAGTGACATTAATGTGTTTGGGTTACACTTAACAATCTGGATGTTTAATGCTCTTCAACCATTTGTTCCAGGTCACCAGAGGTTAACAAGCCAGTAGTGAATATAAACATAATTGTGTTTCATGAGGCTACGTTGTCAGCTTGAAAAACAGAACAAAGCCTCATCAATAATCTTTACTTTCTTCTAGGAGCAAGCCAGTACATGTTGAATAAATACATTGACACTCACTGTTGTGTTTGAAGATTCTTATGGTTGCACCTGAGAGTCGGGCCCCAAGCACAAGCGATGTGTGGTTTAACTCATCACTTAAAATGAGGCATCCCTGTGCAGAAAGCAAGCACACAAAACACAAGCCAATAAATAAAACCAAGGAAAAACAACTTGAGGGGACAGGAAGGCACTCTAAAACCCGCAACACCAATTTCTAAAACTCACTTTAATTTTAAAAGGCCAAGAGTTTAACCTGGTGTCTATATGGATAAAATCATGTATAGCAGTCAGCTGATGGAGATGGGAGTTGTTTTAAGATATTACATGTTCACGGCAACATTTACGTAGAGTTTGCAGTCGAGAAGTTCATCCAAGATCTTTGTTAAGCACCAGGGAGAGCCTAAAGTGTTGATCTCCGACAGGAAGATTGGTAGGTTTTTGGGTGGGTTATGAACTTGTAGGGGCACTTCCATGAGGGATTATTTGGAACAGTTTTAGTTATTCCTACTGAAAGGCAGGGGTCTTTTGTGCAGGACAATTTAAGCTCTTACTTCTGATTCTCGTTTTCCACTGTATTAACATCCCATGTAGGCAAAAACATCACTGTGTTACAGTCAAAAACTTTGAATATGGAAAAGTATAGATGGCAATTCAGTCTGCGGTATGTGGATTAAGTCAGTCTAAGTTACTGCTTGCAAATTACTCTTTGTAAAATTATTTTTCTTTTTAAGTTAAACATTTCTAAATTGCAAAACTGCTTAAGCATACCAAAAATACAGGCAAATTATGGTGAACCTTTGTCTTTTGTGGCCTTCCAGAATCTTTGAATTTTCCCTTATATTTCTATAGTTTCACACATAGCCATGTTTTGAGTTTTTCTGAGGCAAAAGCCACAAACATTCCCATATATTTGTACTCTAGATATATGCATATTTGTAATTTTTCTGGTGGAACATTTAGGAGTTATTTGTAAGCCTACTACTTCGCCTTTCCTGAGAACAGGACATTCTCCTACAAAAATCACAATTCAATGATCACATTCAAGAAGTTCAATGCTTTTACAACACTATCATTTGATAGACAGTTCAAATTTAAATTTCCCCAACTTTTCTAATGATGTCTTAAAGCTCTTAATAGACATCATCATTCCTTTGATGTTGTTCATTGCAAAATCCAGTCTAAGACCATACATTGCATGTAGTTGTGATGAGACACATTTTCAAAGGCATAAATTTGATTAATGTACTTGCTTACTTGCAATGAACCAGCCAACTTCCCATTTTTTTTTCTGAGGAACAATTTCAAATGCCGGCATGATTGTCACTATATGGCTCATTGCCATTTGGCACCTGCTTTCATTTCTGATCTTTTCTTTGACCACTATTCTATATTCTAGTTCCTCCAAACCTATGTATTTTACACATGCTGTTCCCTCTTCGTGTCCTAAATACAACTTATTTATCTGTTAAAATTCTGTTCTCCTCTCACTATTTTTGCACAGACATTGCAGACTTTCTCAGGAAGGGTTTTGGGCAGCTCTTTGTCTTTCCTCAAATATGGGCATGCCTTTTCTATGGTATTTGTCCTACTTTGTTCAGTATATTTTTGACCCGTTAGACTCTAAAGTACATAAATTTAAAAGACACAGGTCTTGTTCATCTTTGTATGTCTTGTATCTTCCCTTATATGAAGACATAGTAGATTCTCAAGAATTGGTTTATTGAATGAAAAAATAAATGAGTAACATAGGAAAAATATTTTGTCCAAGTAAATGCTTAATAAATATTAGATATGAGAAGTTGCAAATGGGAACTCAGGAGCCCAAAATTATGATTGCTTTGTTAAACTGTCTTTGAAGATGAATTCTGACCCATGTCTAGGGTTGCAATTATATAATCAGCAATATCATGAAAAGATTTGCTGGACTAAGCTGCATACTTATTCAAAAATACCGATTTCCAGTCAGTTTCTCCTAAGAAAAGAACCTTCTCACACGTACTTCTTCTTCTTCTTTTTTTTTTTTTTTGAGATGGAGTCTCGCTCCGTCATCAGGCTGGAATGCAGTGGCCTGATCTTGGCTCATTGCAATCTCCACTTCCTGGTTTCAAGCAATTCTCCTGCCTCAGCCTCCTGAGTAGCTGGGACTATAGGTGCGCGCCACCACGCCCAGCTAATTTTTGTATTTTTAGTAGAGATGGGGTTTCACCATGTTGGCCAGGATGGTCTTGATCTCTTGACCTTGTGATTTACCCGCCTCGGCCTCCCAAAGTGCTGGGATTACAGGCATGAGTCACCGTGCCCATCTCAGCCATACTTCTAACAAGGACCTGCTCAGAGTTACAATTCTTAGGAGTAATACAGTAGAAGACAATTATGTTAACAAACTTCTCACCTTTCCAACTAATGCTGGGATATTCATTGAGTTAGTTGCGAATCCCATCCCAAAGACCATAGCTGCTTCCACATTCAGGAACTTAGCCACAAGGTCCTCCAGCTCCTTGTGCTTATCCAAGGTGCCTGCACATAAAATTACATGAGGAGTGAGCCTTCACTTTTCAACAAGGCCAAGATTGAAAACTCAAATTCCAGTACATACACATCACCAAAAGACCTATACAAGAGTGCTTGTAGCAGGAAGATTTGCCATTGCCCGAATCTAGAAATAGCCCAAATATTCAACTATTGTAGAATGGAAAAATACAATGTGGGGTATTTGTATAGTGGAATTCAATACAGCAATGAGAAAGAACGAACTGCTGCTCCACACAACATTGTGGATAAATCTCACAAATCTGTTGTTGAGTGAAAGAAGTCAGATATCTAAAAAAGTACAGGCTGTATGATTTCGTTTACGTAAAGTTTGCAAACAGGCAAAACAAATCTACAGTGTTAGAAGTCAGGATAGTAGTTATTTTTATTAGGAGCATGAAGATGGTTTTTAGATTCTCTGAATGTTCTATTTCTGCATTTGTTACGTAGGTATGTTTGCTTTGTGAAGATCCATTGAGCTGTATACTTACGACTGGTGCACTTTTCACCATGCTGTAAGTGAAATAAAATTTACAAAAAACACCCACAATTCTCTCTTTTTACTCTACATCTCACAAGTAATTAATTAAATTATAACCCCATCAGAGTTTCCCCACACCTAAATGCAAAACGGATTCAATGACTTCCATAGATACCAATAATTTATTGAATCTTATAATTTATTGAACCTTTGGAATGTACTAGATACTGTGTTAAGCCCACTATTTAGGTTCTCTCATTTAATCTTAGAAGCCAATAATGCAGGTATTTTTACTTCACAGATAAGAAAACTGAGAGTTAAGAGGTTACCAATAAAAAGCAACAGAGATAATCTAGTTTAACTCCAAAGTGTAGTTTTTACCTCTTTACAATCGCTTATATGTTTGCCCTTTGATCCCTCCTTAAACATAATCCCCTCATGCTTTGCTACAGCAAATGTTGATGCTTGCTCCTCATATTTTCTGTTTGCTATCACTTGAACTCCTAGGTCTGCACAGTCCAATATGGTAGCCACCAGCTATATGTGGTTAGTGCAATGGAGAAACTGAATTTCAAGTTTTATTTAATTTTAAGTAACATAAAATGTAAAGCTAAAGCATAGTAAAGTGCATTTCACCAACTGCAAATTTATTTTTTGATAGCATTATATTTCATATTAATTATTGGAAATTTAATGTCTTTATTAAGATATGCTATAAGTATAAAATATGTGTCATTTTCTGAAGCCATAGTATGATGACAAAAAGAATGTAAAATAGTACTGTTTTTTTTTTTGAGATAGAGTCTCGCTCTGTAGCCCAGGCTGGAGTGCAGTGGTGTGATCTCGATTCACTGCAGCCTCGGCCTCCCGGATTCAATCAATTCTCCTGCCTCAGCCTCCCGAGTAGCTGGGACTACAGGCACATGCCCCCACGCTCGGCTAATTTTTTGTATTTTAGTAGAGATGGGGTTTCACCGTGTTGCCCAGGCTGGTCTCGAACTCCTGAGCTCAGGCAATCCACCCGCCTTGGCCTCCCAAAGTGCTGGGATTACAGGTGTGAGCCACTGCACCCAGCCCGATATTTTTTATAGTGATTACACATTTAAATGGCAATAGTCTGACATACTGTGTTAAAGAAAATGTATAATTAAATTGATTTTACCGTTTTTTTCCTTATTAAATGTGGTTATTAGAAAATTTAATATTACACATGCGTCTTGCCTCCTGTTTTTATTGAGCAATGCTTTCTAAATGATATAACTGACAGAACGGAAAAATGTACAAGTGGAGAGATGCTGTAATTTACACACATAGAACATAGGAGCTGTTGCTCGGATTTAAGTTACAGGAGTATTGTTATCATGTTTAGGGCCGCTATAAACATACTTCCTTTTGCCCAAGGATCAACATAGTTTAATATACAGAGTATGATATAAGAATGTATTTAAATTGGTAAATTAGTTTTCTTACTGTGCTAAAATAGTGAGAAGGTACTGAATGGTCAGTTCTAAGATTTCTATTGCATTTCATGTTGAAGAGGACACTTCTTGATCTTTGCCGTTCATGAGAGGTCACACTGAGGGGCCTTGCTTTTCAAACCAGAATTTATTTATCCCCAAAGTTATTAGAAGACATAGTAAAACAAGCATTCTAGGCCAGGTGCGGTGGCCCACACTTGTAATCCCAGCATTTTGGGAGGCCGAGGCAGGTGGATTACCTAAGGTTCAAGACCAACCTGGCCAACATGGTGATACCCCATTTCTATTAAAAATACCAAAAAAAAAAAAAAAAATTAGCCTGGCATAGTAGCGCATGCCTGTAATCCCAGCTACTCAGGAGGCTGAGGCAGGAGAATCACTTGAACCCGGGAGGCGGAGGTTACAGTGAGCCGAGATTGCCCCATTGCACTCCACCCTGGGTGACAGAGTGAGACTCCATCTCAAAAAAAAAAAAAAAAAAAAAACAAAAAAAAAAAAGTTTTTTTTTTTTTTTTTTTTTTTTTTTTTTGATTATACTTTAAGTTCCAGGGTACATGTGCACAATGTGCAGGTTTGTTACATATGTATACGTGTGCCATGTTGGTGTGCTGCACCCATCAACTCGTCAGGACCCATCAACTCGTCATTTACATTAGTTATAACGCCCAATGCCATTCCTCCTCCCTTCCCCCCTCCCCATAATAGGCTCCAGTCTGTGATGTTCCCCTTCCTGTGTCCAAGTGATCTCATTGTTCAATTCCCACCTATGAGTGAGAACATGCGGTGTTTGATTTTCTGTTCTTGCGATAGTTTGCTGAGAATGATGGTTTCCAGCTGCATCCATGTCCCTACAAAGGACACAAACTCATTCATTTTTATGGCTGCATAGTATTCCATGGTGTATATGTGCCACATTTTCTTAATCCAGTCTGTCATTGATGGACATTTGGGTTGATTCCAAGTCTTTGCTATTGTGAATAGTGCTGCAATAAATATACGTGTGCATGTGTCTTTATAGCAGCATGATTTATAATCCTGTGGGTATATACCCAGTAATGAGATGGCTGGGTCATATGGTATTTCTAGTTCTAGATCCTTGAGGAATCGCCATACTGTTTTCCACAATGATTGAACTAGTTTACAGTCCCACCAACAGTGTAAGAGTGTTCCTATTTCTCCGCATCCTCTCCAGCACCTGTTGTTTCCTGACTTTTTAATGATTGCCATTCTAACTGGTGTGAGATGGTATCTCATTGTGGTTTTGATTTGCATTTCTCTGATGGCCAGTGATGACGAACATTTTTTCATGTGTCTGTTGGCTGTATGACTGTCTTCTTTTGAGAAATGTCTGTTCATATCCCTTGCCCACTTTTTGATGGGGTTGTTTGTTTTTTTATTCTTGTAAATTTGTTTGAGTTCTTTGTAGGTTCTGGATATTAGCCCTTTGTCAGGTGAGTAGATTGCAAAAATTTTCTCCCATTCTGTAGGTTGCCTGTTCACTCTGATGGTAGTTTCTTTTGCTGTGCAGAAGCTCTTTAGTTTAATTAGATCCCATTTGTCAATTTTGGCTTTTGTTGCCATTGCTTTTGGTGTTTTAGACATGAAGTCTTTGCCCATGCCTATGTCCTGAATGGTATTACCTAGGTTTTATTCTAGGATTTTTATGGCATTAGGTCTAACATTTATGTCTCTAATCCATCTTGAATTAATTTTCATATAAGGAGTAAGGAAAGGATCCAGTTTCAGCTTTCTACTTATGGCTAGCCAATTTTCCCAGCACCATTTATTAAATAGGGAATCCTTCCCCCATTTCTTGAAAAACAAGTGTTCTAATAGTCAATCTGACTCAAGATTTGGTGCAATGTTTAAAGTTTACATTGTAATTTCAAACTTTGTATCATCAAAGATATATTATGGAACAGGAAGAGAAACTGGTATTTAGGAATAAAACATGGGCATATCATTTGCCAGATTTGCGTTTACCTAAAAGAGGCTTCTTCCCAATGGGAATGGTTCCAAGAATAGACAGTGAAAAGGCCAACAGCCTGGGTATCAGGAGGCTAGGTTCTGGCTTTAGCTCTTCCATTACCAGCTGTGTGGCCTCTGGCTACCTTTCCTGGAAGTTTGCAGAGGGATTCAGATAAATGCCATTTTAGGCTTTCCCAATGTTGCACGTGCTATTTCCTCCACATAAAATCATCTTTTTGCCCTTCACCTTTTCTCTGAAGCCTTTCTCAGCTTCCCCAGGGAAAACTCATCATTCTTCTCTTCTGAGATTGAATAACATTTATCATATGATGATTGCAGCACTTATTAAGTTGAACTGAGAATGTTCCCAGGGCAATCTTCTCTAGTACAGAAAGAGTCCTTGGGGTGCAGATACTGTGTGTGAGACTTCATGACTTCCATAGATACTGACAATAGTATCATAGATGGCCATAGTATCAGACATTCTATGATGGTGTCATAGATGTTTGTCTTAGCAACCACAGTGTCTAGCACAGTGCTGACACATAGTAGGTACTTGTAGAGTTATATGGGGTCTTTTGATGAATAACTAAGACAGGGCTGAGCTTAGAGTAGGAGATGGCACAGGGAAGAAGATCAAAAGGCCATGCAATGCCAAGGCAATAAGGTGACTAGGCAGTGAATACCAGCCTGAAGACATTCATTCCTAGAGAAGTCTTCTAGTAAAGACACAAGGTGCCCAAACTTTGCCAACTTGATATATTTCCCCTTTCCTGCCCAGAGGGTCAGGTGACAACTGGTCCAGTCACCCAGAAGTGCATGAGTAGAAGTTCATGATGCAACTCCATTTGTCTTTCTCCACCCTTAATCTTTCCAAAACCTGCTATCTCAGGAGCTTAATCTACAACAGTTGCATCACTAAAAGTTGTTAGGTTAATGTGGAATGTGTTGTCACACAAACAGCCAGCCAACTCATGAGAAGTGGGTGTGTCTAAGACCATTCTGAGAAATTGCTCACTACAAGATCCTTTCCATTAGACCTGGCTTAAAGATCGGGAGGA